GAACACTTGGGATTTTTTTTTTAATCACACTTTAATATCCTGTTATTTAAATGTGCGCATCTTCCAGCGCACTTGCAACAAGAGCAGCAGAGACAAGCCCCTGCCACTCCAGCACGGCCCTCCTGCTCTCACCAGGCCTGCAGGAGAGCCCGCCCGAGCCCCACCTGCCCTCACCGAGGCGCCCTTACCTCACGGCGTCACTCGAGGGGCCTAACCCCGCAGATCCCGGCCGTTATGACCCTGCCGCGCCCCGACTCCCTGCGGGAGCTCGGCCTCACATGCCCCAACCCCGAGAAGAAATCCACGAGGAGTCCCCCAGGAAGGAAACAGCAGTACCCCCCAACTCCCGCCGGCGGCATCACTCGAGAGCCGTTCACTACCGCCTCACACCGAGTGGAGGGAATGGGCGGGGCTCCGCAGCGACGGGGTGCATCCTGTCCCTCCCCAGAATCGCTCGGCCCGTGTTCCGACGCTTCCGTCGGGCGGGTCACAAGAGGGGAAGACAGAGATAAGCCGGTGCGCAAGGCCGGGAGGAGAGCGATTGCTAACGGAAAGGAACAGGACGGGAGCGGACAGAACACTGCCCCTGCAATGGTAAGTCCCGTCGGGCTGGAACCGCGGCTGAGCCCCGCCCCTGCCGCTGGGCAGACACACTAAACCCCGCCCGCCCGGCCTTTAGCGGCTGGTGCGACTCCCACCCACCCACAGCGGCGCATGCGCGTTAGGCTATCAGGGAACGCAGTGGCCAGCGCTGCGTACGCTCTCGCGAGACTTCGGTGGGGTGCGGCCTGTGTGAGGCGGGGAGTGGGGTAGGGGGGCGTGCTGTGCGCGGCAGCGGAGGAAGACGTGGAAGAGGAGGCGTGAGTGGGGTTTGAGTTCCGTGGCTCTGGCCGCTTGTGGTGGGGGGCAGCGGGGCTGGGAGAGGGTGAGGCTTTCCCTGGATAGCTCCTAAGAAGCTGGATGGGTGGGTGTGTGTGTGCGCGCGCGGGTCCGTTCTTTGTAACGGCTCCGCAGTGCGGGTCCTCCTCACCCCGCGGCGCACCTCGGCCCCGTTACGGGCCGTGGGTCGGGCCCCCGGCGTCCCTCTGTAGCAGAGAGGGCAGGACCCCGTCAGCGTTGCTGAGCCCCCTCGGGAGCCAGCCTCGGGCGCACCCCCTTGCAGAGTAGGAAATGCTTATTGGCGCCGAGGCTTCCGGGGCTGGAGGAGCCGGGAGCCCTCTGGGGGCCTCAGGCTGTGGTGGGCATTGGCTGGTGTTTTTATGTTTTCCTTCCTGTTTGCTTGGAGGAGGAGTCTGCCTCAGCTGAGCAGGATTCCCTCTCTCCCCTGAATACCTAGCGGCTTCCGAGGTGCGCTAGCAAGCTTCTTATTTCCTATGTAAAGGCAAGAAAGGAGATAGCAAACATTTATGGAGAGACTTGGTAGTTAGCAGCGTCAGTGAGAGGGAGTCAAGATGAGGCGCTGCAGGTCAGAGCAAGCGTGGTAGTGACACGTGTGGAGTGTGTCAACAGGGTCAGCACTGCTGAGGTTGTTTTGCATTTGGAGTGCTGCTGTGATGTTGATACTTTGCCCATCGCTATATAAAAAGCTTTCTTGCCTCGGCATGCAAGGTGTTTTACAAAGCCAATTAGTTTGGCTGGTTTGAAATACAGCCAAGAGTAATCTGGAACCCAAATTCACATCAAATCTATGGCCTGCAGGTTGAGAATCTGATTAGGGTGACTGTGTACTGCCCCCATTTCAAAACCATCATTCATGGCAATAATGTTTTTTTGTAGTGTAAGATTATTGGCGAGAACAATCAATTACATTGTCCCAGCTCTTCATGAACCCCAGTCTTGGTATCTTGTGCATTTTGAAGTGTTTGGGCAGGAAGACCTTTACAGAGGAATGATTTCAGCTGTGTTTCTTCTCACATCAGTTAGGTAGTTGTTGGGGGTTTTTAAATCCTTTTGCTAGCTGCCATAGGCCGGTGTTTCCAGTAGCAGTTTTGTTGTACTAGTTGAAGCAGTGTACTGGCCTGAAGCAGTGTACTGGCCTAAAGCATTTGCTGTTGAGCACCTTGTCTTTCTTTTAGCTGAGGAGTGTTAATTTGGATTTAGATATGTTAATCTGCATCAGGTACTTAAAGTAACTGCTTTTAAACTTTTGATGGCTACCTACAGACTGACCATTGCTTTGACTTACTCTGGGACATCTTATACCTCCTCTCATCAGCTTGGAGCTTTCCGATTATATCTTCTAGTTTCAGAATATTTATTAAAGGTACGTGGATCTGGATTGGCCTGAGAGTTCTTTGGAACTGATGAATTCTACTTCTTTATATTGACAAGTAATTTCCAGTTCCTTTGTGCTTTCAATAACTGCTTTTGGGACTGAGAGAATAGGGCTTGACTGGTATCTTTGTTGCCATCTGTGTTCAATGAAAAAGTATTTTCCAGGGGGAGTTGCACTATAGAAAAGAACAATCTGTTATCTTCAAATAGCATAGCATTTTGTTTCTCTGCAATGTGAACTGCAAGTAAAAGAGGTCAGGCTTTTAATTAAGTGTTTGTATAAATGTTAATTCCATGTATCACTATTCCTACAGCTCTGAAGAGATCACTTTCTAGTTAAAGATGGCTGCTGATACCTCTGTTGACATACTTCAAAAAGTTCTGGAGAATGAAATCCTTCAGACTACCAAGGTTGTGGAAGAACACCTGGATGCTGAAATGCAGAAGCTGGACCAGATGGATGAAGATGAATTGGAACGCCTTAAACAAAGGAGGCTTGAGGCACTAAAAAAGGCCCAGCAGCAGAAACAGGTCATTCCTGCAGTAGTATAGACTCTTGATGTATACAGTGTAACAGACTTCCTGGAAATCTTAGGGAAATTTTGCATGTGAATTAAGTGGCTTGGAGTTGTTTGGGTTTTTCCTCTTTGGGTGGGGTTTTTATTTCTTCCTCACCTTTCTGTTCTTACTAATTTTAAGTTACCCAGGAAAGCAAATATCTGTCAATGTGTGCATGCTTTGAGTTTTTTAACAGGAGCTGAGAGCAGCCTCTGTGGTCCTTTACAATAAGGATAGGGTAAAGAGTTTCGTACAAAGATTTGTGTGTGTCTTTATTCACTGACCATTGCTGTCTGGAAACACAAGTGTTGTAAGCAATCTAATCATAAGCCTTTAGGCCCCTTAAGCTTCCGAAATCAGGAGGTTGTTACTTATGGCATGTAAGTGATGCATGCCATTCTCTTAAGGGTAGAAGAATGATACAGAGCTTTTCCTTGTTACTAGGGTGAAATCATTTGTCACAGTCCTAACCCAATGACATGCCTTTGTATGACTGCTCATTTCTTCTTACAGGAAAGAAATACTGCTTTGCTCCCTGGTGTCTCATGCTAAACTGTGGTCTTTGTGCTCCCCAAAAAGTCTCTTTGAACATAGTTCACAGTCTGAATTGGGAGTAGGGAAGCCATAGGTTTCTTAGCTTACTCCATCTAGGCAAAACCAAAACAAAGAAATAGAAGGGGTCGGGGGAGAAGGTGACTGGGTTGAAAGAGATGTTCTAGCCATTATGGAACGCATAAAAGCTAATGCCATGCACTGAAATGGGAATGCAGTAAAATGACATGGCATAGTTGGTATGCTGGAGGGTGGCAGGGTTAGTGGCTTTGATAATCTAAACATGGAAGTAGAGAAGGTGGCATACTATTTGCTTGTCTTCAAAAGTTCAGTTTATTCTAGTGTTTTCCTTTTTCAGAAGTCATAACATTTGGATGTGAACATGTGGTAGTTCTTATGCAAAAACTTGGTTATGTCAGTTGATCTTAAGTCACTGTTCTCATGCATTTTCAAATACAAATTTGAAGTAGCATACTACCCTGTAAAAGGTGTGTGCTGCCACACTGGCCTGGAAGCAGAGGGGAAGTAATGCATATCCACTGATGAATAAGTCATTTTTTGATTTGCATCATGATGACGTCTTCATGTGGTCATACCTCTGTACAACGTCCAGGAGATTTTGTTCTATGCTAATATAACTTAAAGGATATTTTTCGTTTGCTTGGATATTTTTTGTTTGCTTGGATATTTTTTCTTGCCACTCTGCTAAGACAGAACTGCAAGATCAAGAACAGTGATTTATCTATACTTCTTTCCCACCACCCCCCATTAGAAATGAAAAGTTTTTTGTCAAGTCTTGTCATACTGCGCTACTTCTAATAATTCAGCTTAGTCTGTAGTTGTTTTAGTTATTAACTTTCAGTATTGTAGAAGCTCCTTGTTTCTTAAGTGCATTAGCTTTTTCTAGACTGTATTTGTACACCTAATCAGACAGGTGAAGTTGCCTGGTTGTGAAATTTTGTTTTTCCGTACATTTTCTGATTAATGATGTGCATGCGTTTCCTGAATGGTTCTCTGGAAGCCTAGCTCATACTAAGGTACCTTCAGTATCTGTTTTGTGACACATAAACGTAATTTGCTGCAGGTGAGTTGGCAGGCTTTCTTCCCCCCCCCCCCCCTTTTTTTTTTTCTTAGTTAAAAAATGGAAGAAATCTATTTTAAAACATGTAATGACTTGAATCAGTTCTGGACAAGAGTTCTGTGAGTGTACAAAAACATTGTAGAGAGAGTAGCCCAAGCTGTTGATTAGCAGTTTTCAATTGCTGCGTTTTCTGTCATTGGTTCTCTCTGAACTAGTCTAGCCTTACTGAAAGGCTGCACTGTAGAAATTTATGCAGCTCTGCAAGATTTGTATTGCCTAATAGGTAAGACTGCCTTACTGCTGAACCACCTATCTCTTGCTGAGAAAGAGGCAACCCAGAAGTATTGCCTAGCCTGGTGGCATTTGTATATTTTCAAGACAGATCTGAAGGGGAGAAGTAATTTGTTTCTCCTTCTATGAAATGGGTTTCCACTGCAGGTCCCATCTTTAATTTTTCTTAAAAGCTGTACATTTTGCATGTAGGTGCAGGACTAACATAATCCATACTAATTATTTCCTCTTATGTTTTCCAAAAGGAGTGGCTTTCAAAAGGACATGGAGAATACAGAGAAATCCCAAGCGAGAGAGACTTTTTCCAAGAAGTCAAAGAAAGTAAAAACGTGGTGTGCCATTTCTATAGGGATACAACATTCAGGTATAGTAAATAAGCTGTGCTCAAGAAACCTTTTGTTTATAGATGTTGTCCTGGGTTCAGCAGTAGCAGTCATGTTTCTCCTTCTTGGTAGCTGGTGCAGTGCAGTGTCTACAGAAACAGACATGTTCTTTTGTTCTTTCAAATTTCACAAATAAATAGGTATTTTTAAAATAATCAGATTCCTTCATTTTCCAATTCTCATTCTCTTCTCAAAACATTTGATTTTTAATTTTTTTCCCATTCCAGTTAATCTTTACATGATTTGACAACAATTAATACTTAAGTAGTTCATTAGAATATAAATGTATAACTTCTTTGACCATATTTGGGAGAGTGCTGTGTTTCATTGTTTTAGTTTGAGGGAGCCATGTCTCTGAATGTAGTGATTATATGGTAGCAACATTTCAAAAAATTGCTTTGGTTGCTCTGGACAGTTCTGACATTTTCAGAGTTTAACCTTTTACTTTGAGAGGATGTGGATACCAGTTGCAGCTCGGCTGCTTTCCCTTTTTGCCTGTGCCCTTGTGATTATGTCACACTTCCAGGGTACGAGATGCCTAGCCCTGAGAATATGTCCTGACTCAGAACTGGAATCTAAAATAATATCTCCCACTTCCTTGGAAGAATGTTGGAAGTTCCGGGTTGTAGGCTGTTCCTCAGTGGGTCTGTCTTAGTATCTTCTGTTAAAATGCAGTTGCAAAGTAAAAGTAGTTTGTTGAAGGAAGAGCCAGTTGTCCTGGTTTTGGTGTTGGTTGGTCATGCTACCCCCCACCCAAGGTGTTATGTTCTCTCTAGTTTATAGAATATATATAAGCTGAAACAGCCTCAATGTGAGAAACTGAAAGAGGTCAAAGCTGCATTATGTCAAAGCGAGGCATCTGTATCCTACGTTTTCTAAGTTAAGCATTGAAGCTTCAGAAATACGTGAAGCAGTTGTATCTGACTAGCTTTTTCTTAAAGGAGTTGAAAGACTATCTCTGAAGATAAAGTAGATTAGAACAGGTTTAGGTTGTTTGTTTTCTAGTTTCATGAATCAATAAAGTCTATATACTCAGCAGAAAGAACTTAAGAGAAAGTTCTTTGTAAAATGTATCATGCTGACAACTAGCTTGAACCTAGTGTGTCAGGTTTACCAGCCACACTATCAAGCTGTTTTCATCCTTGCCCACTCCAGCTTTTTGATATGCTTGGCTCTCCTCTGGAGTTGAGGGACAGTCACATCACAGAGTTCATGCAGCTAAGTCAAACCTTTTAAAGAAGACAATCCAGAAAGCTGAGGTTGCAGATGACAGGTCTACAGACCTCTGCCATCTGACAAGTATTTTGAACAGTTCATGTCACTGTCCCTTAGCTGAAAATAATTGTATGCTCATTCCTGTTCCATTGCAATAGAAAAATGAACTATTTTTGTCTGTAGCACTACTGAAGCAGACTGTGCAGATAGCTTATTTTCCTGTACAGTGAGTTACCACATCTCAGTTGTGGGGGTGGTGACTGAAAAACACCAAAGTGCTGCAGCATTTTGAGAGCACTTTTCTGGCAACATGAAGGCTCTTGTAGAGGGATTTTTCTAGCTGACAGGCTGTGAGCTAGAGCAGGAGTCGGAGGGAAACTTCATCAATAAATGCAGGCCTCAAGAAACGAGAGAGGCCTTCAGATGTATGTGGGAGTAATTAGGAAGGAATTAGAGAAATGGATGGTGTAATTGTGCAATAAAGGTGCTCCAGGCTGTTACTCTAATAGTCATCAAATTCAGCTACCTTTGAAACACAGTTTCTCTTTAAACTAAATTCTTAATTACAAGGGTCGTATCTGAGGAGTTAATGTGGTAGAATTAGCTCTTCACTGTTCAAACTTTCTCTAAAATGCTCATTCTTCAGCTTATTGAGTCTAACACTTTTATGTGTTTTGGGTTTTTTTCACAGGTGCCAAATAATGGACAGGCATTTGACTGTATTGGCAAAAAAGCACATTGAGACAAAATTTGTGAAATTAAATGCTGAAAAGTCTCCTTTCTTGTGTGAGAGACTGCGCATCAAAGTACTTCCCACTCTAGCACTGGTAAAAGATGGAAAAACGCAAGACTATGTTGTGGGTTTCACTGATCTTGGTAACACTGATGACTTCACTACAGAGACCTTAGAATGGAGATTAGGCTGTGCAGATGTAATTAATTACAGGTAATTAACTGGGTTGTGATTGTTTTATTTTCAGATCCAGTGTAAGAAGGTGCTTGCAGACAGGAGGATCTGTAATATTTTGTGTCTTTGATACATTGTATACAACTGGCACTAGGCTGAGGAAGTTGGGGCTGTTCATCCTGGAGAAGAGAAGGCTGCGTGGAGACCTCATAGCAGCCTTCCAGTATCTGAAGGGGGTCTATAGGGATGCTGGGGAGGGACTCTTCATCAGCGACTGTAGTGATAGAACAAGGGGCAATGAGTTTAAACTTAAACAGGGGAAGTTTAGATTGGATATAAGGAGGAAGTTCTTTACTGTAAGGGTGGTGAGGCACTGGAATGGGTTGCCCAGGAAGGTTGTGAATGCTCCATCCCTGGCGGTGTTCAAGGCCAGGTTGGACAGGGCCTTGGGTGGCATGGTTTAGTGTGAGGTGTCCCTGCCCATGGCAGGGGGGTTGGAAGTAGATGATCTTTTCCAACCCTAACTATTCTATGATTCTATGACACACAAGAATTAAATCCAGTTGTTTAATCTCTGTATTTGGCAAGGGAAAGAAGTATCTCCTTGTCTGAGTACTGAGACATTGTAATGACCATTGTGTTGTCCTTTCTGTACAGTAACAAAAATAAACCCAGTTCTTGGCCCTGAGGTGTATGAAGTAGCTATGATGCTTTGATGTGGCCTTTAGGAGTCATGCATCTCATGGAATCCTTTCTAAATCAGCTGTAGAATCTTATGTGTCACACATAAAGTTTGAGCATTTTTAATCCATCAGAAAATGTAGCAAGTTACCCTTAAAGTGCATCCTAGTCCATACTGCATACATGAATATGAATTCTGGTTTTCAATAAACAGTACAAGAAGTGAAAGCAAGTTGCAGAAGTGCAAATAAATCATTTGTGTAGCACTACAATATAATTATCAGAAATCCCACATTTAAGACTGCAGAATAGAAGGTAGTAGTAGATAACTCTCACCACAATAGCCTAATTTTACAGGAGAATAACTTACCAGAACTTTCTGCTTTGCTTTCCAGTGTGGCTAAAACATTATCTTTTTAAGTTAATTTTGCTCTTTTATTTTGGATGTTTCTGGGGTGTACATTATTATTTTAAATTAATTACCTGAGTTTATTTCCGTCTCTAATTTCCAAATTTTTGGAAGAAGTATTGTATCTTAAAGAAACTGCTGTTCATTTTAGTAGCTGTTGGAACTTCAGATAAAATGACTGAAATAGAAATCTGTATTTCAAAAAGGTGTTAACAAGTTCAGAAACGAGCAAATACACAGAGGCGTCAAAGACGGTTTGGGTAGTATATTCTGGACAGCAACAGCCTTTTATAGGATAAGTCTTTCAGTGGAGTTGTACCAAGCTAGACATGTGTATTCCACTCTTGGAGCTCATTGTGAAGTGGGGAAGTTTTGATCTTTGTTCATTTTGCCAGGTCCTGAGTTTGGTACCCTGGCTTTGCAAAACATCTACATAGCCCAGGAGATCTGTTGGAAGCATTCGTGTACAAGTGTTGCATTTCCACACTCTGATTGTAATGTCCCATGCTCTGGAGCTCCTGAAAGGAGATAGTCCTTCTCAGAGCCTAGAAACAGTTCTTTTCCTTCAACCTGTGGGATAGGTAGATGGTAAAAGGATATACTATATTTAGGGAAAGAAAAAAAAATAACAAACTGTTAGGTCACATTGTTTGACTAAAATCAGGATTCACGTGGTATATCGGCTTATTACTGACATGTGGTTAGCTGGCAATCAGTGAACTGTTGATTCACGATTAGTATCAACAAAATGTTATTTGCAAAATGTTAATACCTACACATTTCTAAACAACCTTTCATAGCTACTTCCATATGGTTCTAATTGCTCACTTACTGATAATAAGATGCAAACCCCTCACAGGTGATGTGAGTGAAAGCATGCACACGCTTTTCCAAGCAAGGGGCAGGCATAGCCCCTCCTGTAGGAGATGTAGGTGCTCCAGCTTTATGCAAATGCCTGCTGTTCCCAACAAGCCGCGGATGTGCACACTGGTGAGGGAACCCTACAAGGTCTTGCATTCACACTATGAATCCTTCCATAGTCTGCTAGCTGGAGTGCAGTATCCAGCGGAGAAGCTGCTCTGTCTGGCTAGGAATGTAAACAGTGACTTTTGGCAGTACAAAACCCAGTTTATATGTTTCTACTCTAAAGTCCCGTTACGAAATTTTAGCTGCTTCTGTACGTCTGGCTTCTCATTTGTGTTGAAAAGTCTCTCTAATTCCCTGGTTACTGCCTAATCAGTTAGGTGGGAAAAGACTTTCAAGGTCATCAAGTCCAACTGTTACCCCAGGACTGCCAAGTCTACCATAAGCCATGTCACTAAGGGCCGCCTTGTAGTCTGGCAGATGGATGTCTTTAGTTTGCAGCAAAAGCCATTTCACATAGGTTTTTTTCCTTTTTTTTTTTTTTTTTTCTCTAGAGCCCTACTCACAGCTGCTGTTTATGTGCACACTCCTAAGTACAGTTACCCAGGCCAGGATGTGCTATGCCAGCAGCACTGCAATGCTGCTTAGGGTGGCTGTAGGGAGTAGCGGTTGTGTTCTCTTACAACGTTTTTCTGAAGAAACAGGTAATGAGAGCTGCTACTTACTGTCTGTATGAATATGGCTTTAATCAACATGTCTTACTCTTTTTTTCTCTAGTGGTAACTTGATGGACCCACCTTTTCAAAGTCAAAAGAAATTTGGAACAAGCTTTACAAAGTTGGATAAGAAGACCATAAGAGGAAAGAAATATGATTCAGATTCTGATGATGACTAGAATGGCAGCTATATGTATTTATAAGTCATCTTTTGTTTATGCTTGGTACATTTCTAAGAATGTTTTTTATACAGCTTACTGCTTTTCATTACATCTGCACATAATGCTCATTTTTCTATACAGTTTTATACAACTGAGTCATAGCAGAAAAAAGCTTAACTATTTTATTTTTCCTCTTTTGGAAGTCATTTGTAATTAAAAAATCTGAGTCCTTCTAATTAAATACTGTGGCAAATGATGAACTTTGTCTCAAGTA